TGTTGGAACTGCAGCCACAGAACTCTTCCAGAGGAGAGGGAGCAGCTCAGAGCACAGAGGAGAAGGTCTGCATGCAGAAAGAATCATTATGGGGGAGGAAAAAAAACTGCTGAGGGTGCAGGGACCTGTCTGTATCACTATCCCAGTTTATTGTATTTCGTAGGTCACATCAATAATTGAAGACATCCTTGACAAGCTTCCTGAGGAGTATAACATGGCAGAGATTATGGCAAAGACAACAGAGCGAAACCCGTACACCTTAGTTTGCTTTCAGGAGTGTGAGCGCATGAATCTTCTGTTAGCTGAGATAAAGAAGTCCCTTCATGAGCTGGATCTTGGTCTGAAGGTACCATAAACACAGTGACTGCCAGCAAGGTGCTTTACTGTTATTATTGTAGCATTAAAAAGCATTTCTCTGTCCACAGGGCGAACTCACTTTCTCCTCCAGGATGGAGAATCTGCAGTCTGCACTGTTCATGGAGCAGGTCCCAGACTCCTGGGCCAGATTGGCTTATTCCTCCACTAAAACACTGGCACAGTGGTAACTTATGAGTCAACCTATTATATGCAAATTTTTCTTACTTCTTAAATAATCCCTTATAGGCACACTCTAAAAGCTTCTATTAATGATCTTCCTAGTTTTTTATTAACAATTATTTATTCTTTAGGTTGAACGATCTAATGTGTAGCTGCCACGAGCTCGACAGCTGGACTCAAGATTTTGTCCTACCTGCAGTTGTTTGGCTTTCGGGGCTCTTTAACCCTCAGTCCTTTCTTACCGGTGAGGACTAAACGAAGACAACGATTAATATTACCATATGTGCACCGGTAGAACCAGAAATATTAACATAGAGTCATATTTTACAGCTGTGCTGCAGAGTATTGCTCGCAAAAACAAGTGGCCCCTGGACAAGATGACCCTGAGCGTGGATGTAACAAAGAAAATGAAGGACGACTTTGGGCATCCTCCACGGGAAGGAGCCTACATCCACGGACTCTTCATGGAAGGTCAGAATAATTAACCCAGCAGTAGATCCTGCTGTAGATTATATAGATTTTTCACAGTATTTTGCTGCCTGTGTCTTGGTAAAATTATTGTCTTGTAAGTATAATTGGTCAAACCCACAGCGCAACATACATGTGTCTTTGTGTTAGGAGCACGTTGGGACACTCAGGCTGGAGTCATCTCTGAGGCGGTTTTGAGAGAACTGACGCCGGCCATGCCTGTGCTGTATGTTAGAGCTGTGCCTGCAGAGGAGCGGGACATCAGTAACACTTTTGAGTGTCCAGTGTACCGCACCAAGCAGCGTGGACACACTTATGTGTGGACCCTCCGCCTCCGAACCAAACAGCCAGCTACCAAGTGGATTGTAGCTGGAGTGGCTTTGTTGCTGTCTGTGTGAAATTCAGTATTCAAGTATTACTGCAGTGTAAGAGCAGTATGTTTTTAAACAGTATTGGATTATGTGTCATTATAGTTTTACCATGTTTAGTTACTTTAACACATTTCTAATCTTGTATTTGTGTTGTCAGTATTTGAGTGTGTATATACTGCATGTTGTAGATAAAGTAAAGTAAACCAGTAGAAGCAGATAGCCGGTGTTAAACCTGTTGTGTTCGTGTCCTACTCTGTTGAACATCTCCCTTGAGCCTGGGTGTGATTTGTTGGGAGCTTATGTCTCCATTTTAGACCATGTAATTCTGGATGGGGAGCATATTTTATTGGAAGGTCAAGATTAAAAAAGCTCTCTGGCTGCCCTCTACTAACTGAATGATACACAATGCTGTCTGGAGGGGATCCTGGACAGAATTCCCAGGAGATGATGTGCATGGTTGCTATTGACTTTTAAATGAGGTGCATTTGACATTGACCTTTTGTACGGCAGAGGCAGAATACTAACAGACTAGTGTAATTCATTCAGCCAGACTCGTTGGAAAAACCCATTGAAAGACACTGATAGCTTTGTATGAGAAAGCAACACATTAGATTACCCATCCTTTATCTGCCTCCACTCTCTGTTAACATCTGATGAACCTACTATGCGACAAACACAGCAAAAGAAACAGTCGTTTTAAGTAGAAGGTTATTGTTCTAAATGGATTTAATCAGGATTAATTGAAAACCGAGAGGACGTTCAGACTAACGTTTGTAGTTATGGATACATGTCTGAGGTGTTACTATTTATATGCAGTGATTCTTATGATTTAAAGTCTAATGTATGTCAGGGATATAATGAGGTAGAGTCAAGGTTAAGGCCATGCACTACACTGAGAAAAAACAGATGTGTTAAAGGAGATTTAAAAAAATAAGACAGGTGCCATATTATCTGCTAAAAATAAAATAACATTATGACGCTTAATTTACTGCAACTAAATCGCGGTGTTGTTTCTTTCTGAAGGGGTGGGGGCGTCAAACTCTTATCTACTCAAATAAGATTTTCTTCAACACTAATAACGGCTGTGCTGCTCCTAATTTCTCCCTGCAGCCAAAGTGGCTGTAGACAGACAAATGGAGGCTGGAGGATTGATTCTGTGTATTGTATTGCACGAGGGGGGGAAATGAAGAACCGTTCTTCCTGTAGTTTCTCTTCATCTGCCTTCCCTTCCTCCCATTAGCACAGCACAGCAACTAGCCAGTCATTTGGCGACAGGGAAATGATACAGTGCTCGTAATGTTTGGGAGGAAATGGCAGGGTACGGGGCCGGGCTCAGCAGGGGTCGTGCCTCAGATAAGGCATGTTAAAGGCCAAGCAGGACACCTGGTTAAAGTCAGAAAGGGCATCTGGGTCACCACTCTGCCTTACAGCACCAAAAGAAGACATTGTGTTTGGT